TAATTTTTGGTTTTTAAATTAAGACAAAGTTATTATTTATTTTTTAATATTGAATTTCTTAAAAAAATCAATAGCTCTTCAATCTATAATAATTATATATTTAACTTATTTTAAATTTATCATTATATATATATAAATATACAATTTAATAATTTGCAATAACTGTCAATAATATTGTAGTATTTTATGAATAGCAGTAAATTTTAAAAGTATATCATTGTTAAATCAGAATAATAATATTATATATATGTGAAGTCAACTAAATGACTTAATAATAGGTGGTCAAAATTTTTTGAGAATTTTACAAATCTGTTATAATAGAGAGACTAATTTATAATAAATCTACTATTAATAAACTCTCAATATAAAAAAATTTTATAAATTTTCATTATAGACCTGACTACCTTTCTTATATCAAGATTTGTATACTTTATATACTTTTCAATAGAATGTATTTTGGTTATACTATATTACTAAGATAATTAAAATTTTAGAGCATAATTTTTAGAATAATACTTATGAAATAATTTATTTACTTGTATATAAAAGCAAGAAATCATTATACCAAATTTATAATAATATAGAATATAATAAAATAAATAAAGTTAGTTTGTTGAGTTTTGAACATATTTGAAAGAGATATTTTCCTAGAATTCAATTCATGATATCATGCAGTAACTTATGCATGCTTTGTAAGAAAAAATAATTTGGAACAAAATATTAGAATAGAGATAAAACATTACAAAAATTAAATAAATAGAATAAATATTATAATTAGGCATATTTAGAACATGAAAACTATAGTTAATAATTTGGATTTAATTAATTCTATACATTATATATAGTACTTATCTATAGTTATTTTGTAACATCATGCTAACAATTTACTAAAAATGTATATCTGCTACTTATATGATGTTAGCTGTAAGGATAATTAGTTTTACAGTAATTGTCTAACCTAAATTCTTTAAAAATTAATGCAAAACTAAAATTTTATAAAAAAATTATTTTATAACTTTATTTATTAGACAAGTATTAGTTAAAAATGCTAATTTTTTATAAAACTTGTTTAAAGTTAGCTAACAATTATTATAAGACCAATTAATATCCCTAGTATAGTATAGATTTGAAAATTGGTTTATACTATACTAATCTGTGAAATTACTCTAGTAAATAATTGTTAGTAAAATAAGCAGTATTCATATTTATTATAAATTTTAGAAATTGTATTTTTAGATCTAAAATAACTTTAACTTCCTTAACTAATCTTTCACAACCTGAAATTACAAATTTAATTAACATTAAAAATTATGTTTCATAGAATTTTGTGAAGAATATATATATTCTCTACTTCATATAACAAGAGGGTGTTGTCTATTTTAAGTTATTTTATAAAGTTAAAATATTTGGCATATATGAAAAAGTTATATTATGACAGATATAATTTTACAAATATAGTCAGACCCACTAAATGCAACCACATAGCCTATAAAAATCTTTCTAAATGCATGTTCTTTTTTGGATTTAGCTAATACGATACTTGTAGATTTTTATCTTTTAAATACAATACCTCTCTAAATGCATGTTTAACTTAATTTTTATATATAGTCTTATTTAGAAAAATCTGATTGTATATTATTATTACTTAGTATTATGTATAAAGTATTAAACAAAATTAAAATTCACTATATCAGAATGGTACATTTAGTAATCCTAACCAGTTAATAACTAGTTTATTTTTTTTAAATAATCTTAGTTAATTAGTTAACTAGTTAATAATTAGCTAATTAATATTTATATAATTAGAATTACTATGTAGACATGTTTTAAATATTATATAAATGTTATAATTTAATAATATGATTTTACAGACATGCAGATCTGTTAAATTACCTGCCAAACTTTATTAGCATTTGAAGTTAAGATGTTAATAGAATAATATATTCTAATAGCATTCTGAGTTGATTAAAAATTTAAAATAACCTAAAGCAAGTTTAAAGTAAATTTAAAGTAAATTTGAGATAAATTTAATAGATAGGTTAAGAATTAGATCAATTCAACCTAACTCAACCAACCCAACCCAATTCATTAATACTCTATTTGGGAGTATATTCTATGCTTTTGTTTATTACTGATTCATATAAGTTATATTAAGTAATATTATGTTTTAAGTAATAAATAATTAAAGAATTTATTAATTTGAAAAGCTTTTTATATAATTTATGTGATACATATATTACTTTGCTTAAGATAAATACTTGTGCATAATATATTTCTAATTTAATGCATATATATTAAGAATGTCTCAAGCACCTAAATTAATAGATTAGTGCTCAATTTTTTAATTAATAAAAATAATTTGGGTAGTAAAATAAATAAAGCTAGGATTCTTTGAATATTTATTGTAGTTATTTATAGGTTTTAGTCATTTATAAATTTTATATAAATATTTATAAATATTCATTAAATATAATATTAATAAATTTAACTATGCTTTGGCAATATTTTTATCATATATTTATGATTATTTACTATTTAATTAAATTCTTAATTATTTACAGATTTTGTATAAATATTCATTTTCATCTATGAATATTCACAGATCTCACTTTACAAGTAAGCTTGTTATTAGAATAAAAAAAAATAGTTGACTAGGGTTTTGCAAGTGCTAGCACTTGCAGAACTCCAGTTAAAACTATCTTTTTTTTATCAAAATTGTGTTTAAAATCAGTATTTCCTACTTTAAACTTTTCTGTAAGAATTATCTTAATTAATTATAATGCTTGTGCATAATCTTATTTACTAGCTAACTGTATTAAGAGAGATTCTTGAGAGCATCTAGATCTTTTAATTTTGATTTAATGCTATGTTCTTGTATAAGTTAATTTAATAATAATTTATTTTTTAAATTAATTATTTTATTTCAGAACATCAAAGTATTGAAAAAGATCCAATTATAGTAGTATCTCTTATTCACTATTATTTTGCTAACTATAGCCTTGAAAAAAGCATGTAGTTATCTATACAAACAATTGTGTAAATCAAAACAAAAATAATACAATGATCAAGTATTTTTGTTAGAGAATAATAAATAGTCTGTATAACAAAATTATATATAGTTTTATAGTTCCTAGTCATACAAAATTTGGTCCAAATGGATTTTTTGGTTGTTTAAACTAAAACTTAAAAATTCAGAAGCTGATAATTTTGAAATTTTAATGCATATTGTTAAACAATCTTTGACTAATAGATATAACAAGGCAGATACTGTTATTAATTTTAATAAAAATAGAAAAATTATATTTTATAATTAAATTTAATTTTTTAATCAGTATTTTACACAACTTCTGTTTATTCTTATATAGCATCATTTTATTATATTTTGTAATTATTCTAAAAAAATAAAAATTCAAAAATTATTTGATAGTAATGAAACTGAAATTTCAATTGTATAAGTTTTTTCAATTTCAAAAACTAAAAATAGAGAATTGGTTTTTTTAAATATAATAATTCTATAAAGTATTGGTTTGAAATAGCAGTAGTATTTGTATAAAGAAGTAGCACAACATATTCAAAATTTAGAGAAGCATGATCTTTATTATAAAATGCCTAACCAACCTAAGTTAAAAAAACTAAACCAAACATGATTTAATAGTAAATTTATTTGTTTTAAATTTCTTATTATATTTGTGAAGAGAATTAATATCAATAATGTTATTACTAAGATAGGTTTTGAGTAAGTACACCATTGGCATTTTCAGTGGGATTTAAACAAAAAAAAAAAAGAATTCAAATTATGGCATATAGATGAATTAGATAATAAAAAAAGTCTTTATAAGTTCTTATTATTAAATTTTAGAAAACTTGAAAAAATAAATTAAAACAGCTTGTTGATATATTAGAAAATTTAAAAAAATTTCATAAAAATAAGTAAAATGATAATGTTTTGTGAACTGGAGCCTCAATTGTCTTAAATTTAAAATAGTATTTAAATTTTATAAATTGCTATATTTATAATAAATTTAAAAAAATCTTTGTTCTAAATATGCATTTTGCTCTAATCTTTAATTTTTTTAAAAAAAAGTGTTATTGAAAAGATTAGTGAAAGTACTCTTAATATATCTACAAATGTAAAACCAGTTACAAATAGTGTTTGTAGTCAATTTAAATTTATTGACTCAACTAAGTTGATTTTTCAAAATTGACTTAGTCAACTAAAATTGACTATAAAAGGATTGCTAATCTGATTGGTCAACATTTATCACATAATCAAAATATTATAGTTTTGTAGATTATTTTATTCTTATCTTGCTGCATGTGCATTAATGCACACAAAATGTTTCATGTACATAAAACCCATCTCTAGCAAGAATATAAAGAATATATATATGTTTGATATATGTATATAGATTATATTTTTAATTATTTTATTTACTAAAATTTACTTATATGTAGTCTAATTTCTTTATATAACATTGATATTAATTGTAATATAGAAAGTAGAAAGATAAATAAAACTCAAAACTTTTTAAAAATTTAAAGTTTTTTAAAAATTTGAAGTTTTTAAAAATCATTTGTATAGTTTGCATATCTATTTGTTATAAACAAAGATACATATTAATAATTTTGGAGTTTTCTTTTAAGAATAATAGATCATAAACTATATCAGATTTAAGATGGTTACATTTATTAGTTATAGTATTGCCTGCATTAGAAAATAACTGTTCTGAAGGAACAGAAGTTGCTAGTATTCCTAGAAAAATTCATGCTTGCTTTGTGAGAAGAGATAATAAGCTTTTATGCTCTTTCTACCAATTCAATGAATTATATTTTTTATAATTCAGATCTTTTAAATTATATTTAGAGATTTTTGAAATTGAGTAATACATTTGAAGTTCAATATCAACAGGGAAAAAGAAGGAAAATTCTATTCCATCATTAAAAAAAGAAATCATATCAGTTTTTGGAAGTTGATTAATTAGTGATATACTATTGTTTTGCTAAGAAAGTTCAATCCTTCTATATAGCTCTTGCATTGTCTTTTGTTGCATTGCAGATGATATAGTTAATAATGTTTTAAAGCAAGGATCAAAAATTGTAGCTAACCACCCATCCAATTTTGGATCATCCTATTAAGATGCTAGTGATGTATAGAGAGTTTTGTGTATTTCAATAATAGAAAAATATGTAAGTATGCATTCAATCTGATCTAAATTTTTAAAAAGATGTTGTAATAGAATTTATTTTTTTTCCTATATTAGTATATATTTATTTTTAGTTCTATATTATATTTTATAATTTTCTTA